CGACGAGGACTAATAATGGAGGGGCAATTTTAGAAGTACATGCTGCGAGAGTTGTCAAGTTGGATGAGTTATAAAAAACGTGTGATAAAAAGACTATTATATAACCGTTTTAATATCACATCCTTATCAGCCCTCTGGCTGTTATCAGGACTCTCGGCCTGATAAGGTGTGTGTTTAATATTATCAATATTCTGTTGTCAGGCTTCCAGATACAAATCCCCGACCCCACGGACCGTGTACATATATTTACCCAACCATGTATAATGTTATCAGAACTAATTGTAAATTACATCGACAGAGCACACACATTCATTATTTCAATTCAACATACGAAAATCAATCTTCTAGACACTAAAAATAGAGCACATGTAATTTTTGTAAACTACGGCGTAAGCGATGAACTCGGTCAGTGTGTATTGTCTGTGATATCATGTTTCACTTTCGTTTTCTGTAAGCCATAAAGCGGATGTTACGTGGACGAGGGTTAATATATGCATGATCAGGCAAATCGACGCGACCATTTCATGACGGCATGTCAACATCTGACAAAAAGGAAGACAAAACTTAACCACTACGATCTTATGTAAGTATGCATACTTGAATTGAGGCGATAAAATTGATTATTTACTCATTAAATCCAGGACTAGAGAAAAGTGGCCGACATACAGAGACAACAGACAGAAAGACAGACTTTTTTTGACGAGAGTAAGACAGAAATATCTGTATGATTTTTTTGTACATTTAGAATGAATATTGACTAGTTTGTGTATAAAATTGTACATTTCAACTAAATATTAAGGTAGGTATTATCATTAGGTATCAGTATATTAGAATAGATGTTCCATTGCTTTCTTTATATACATATATCTGAAGTGGAATATAAGCCATGGGTCGTACGAAACATTTTCGACTTAACATAAAATGCCATTCTTTGGAGTTTTTTGAGTAATGTTGTTGATTTTTTTTAAACTTTAGATATTTTACTTTCTACATTGGAGCTGGGGCTATGTTACTTTTACTTTCTATATTGGAGCTGGGGCCCTGTTAATTTTACTTTCTTCATTGGAGTTGGGGCCCTGTTGCTTTTACTTTCCATATTTGAGCTGGGGCTATGTTACTTTTACTTTCTACAATGGAGCTGGGGCCCTGTTAATTTTACTTTCTACATTGGAGCTGGGGCCCTGTTATTTTCCTTTCTATATTTGAGCTGGGGCCCTGTTATTTTCCTTTCTATATTTGAGCTGGGGCCCTGTTATTTTCCTTTCTATATTTGAGCTGGAGCTGGAGCTATGTTATTTTTACTTTCTACAATGGAGGTGGGGCTATGTTACTTTTACTTTCTACAACGGACCTGGGGCTATGTTAATTTTACTTTCTACAATGGAGCTGGGGCTATGTTACTTTTACTTTCTACATTGGAACTGGGGCTATGTTAATTTTACTTTCTACAATGGAACTGGGACTATGTTACTTTTATTTTCTACAATGGAGCTGGGGCCCTGTTAATTTTACTTTCTACATTGGAGCTGGGGCCCTGTTAATTTTACTTTCTACAATGGAGCTGTAATTTGCTTTAGAATACAAATGTCAAAAGGTTAAACCTGCTGAGTAATTTAAGTATGGTACATTTAGTTTGGTAGAATTATCATTGTTTTTTGTTGTCCATTCTCTACTACATTAACATTGCTGTGTCCCGTATGTAAAAATTCTAACTGGGAGTTGTATGGAAGTGGACTACTTTCAGTTTCGATATACGAATTTCTGGAAATGTCTTTGTGAATGTATAACACGTGAGTGAATAACACCATGTGACCTATGCCATGGGAACGACTATGTCTTCAGAGCGTTTGCTGATCGAGGTATGTATAAAAGAATTGTGGCACATTTCTCGACCCAGGGATTCAGTTTACGTAATATCGTTAAGTATCGAAGTACAAACCCTGACTCAACGAGTCGTATCAACTGTTATCATATTTACTACTAATAACACCGTTTTTGTATGTGTGATAAGTCTGAATTTCCACAAAGTGATATTAAGACCTCTTGAAAGTGATATCACACTCCCTCTCAATGTTTTATATTCTGTCACTTCCGCTTATCGGTGTGTAAATTTAACATAAGTGTGGTTGGCTTAGAAGAAATGATTTTTTTTCTTACGAAACACCAATTTAGAATCCCACTCAAATTTCCGGATTGTGCCGTTTCTGGTTGGTTTCCCTTTTTAAAAACGTTAATAGCTAAGCATGGCGACGAGGACTAATAATGGAGAGGCAATTTTAGAAGTACATGCTGCGAGAGTTGTCAAGTTGGATGAGTTATAAAAAACGTGTGATAAAAAGACTATTATATAACCGTTTTAATATCACATCCTTATCAGCCCTCTGGCTGTTATCAGGACTCTCGGCCTGATAAGGTGTGTGTTTAATATTATCAATATTCTGTTGTCAGGCTTCCAGATACAAATCCCCGACCCCACGGACCGTGTACATATATTTACCCAACCATGTATAATGTTATCAGAACTAATTGTAAATTACATCGACAGAGCACACACATTCATTATTTCAATTCAACATACGAAAATCAATCTTCTAGACACTAAAAATAGAGCACATGTAATTTTTGTAAACTACGGCGTAAGCGATGAACTCGGTCAATGTGTATTGTCTGTGATATCTTGTTTCACTTTCGTTTTCTGTAAGCCATAAAGCGGATGTTACGTGGACGAGGGTTAATATATGCATGATCAGGAAAATCGACGCGACCATTTCATGACGGCATGTTAACCTCTGACAAAACGAAAGACAAAACTTAACCACTACGATCTTATGTAAGTATGCATACTTGAATTGAGGCGATAAAATTGATTATTTACTCATTAAATCCAGGACTAGAGAAAAGTGGCCGACATACAGAGACAACAGACAGAAAGACAGACTTTTTTGACGAGAGTAAGACACAGAAATATCTGTATGATTTTTTTGTACATTTAGAATGAATATTGACTAGTTTGTGTATAAAATTGTACATTTCAACTAAATATTAAGGTAGGTATTATCATTAGGTATCAGTATATTAGAATAGATGTTCCATTGCTTTCTTTATATACATATATCTGAAGTGGAATATAAGCCATGGGTCGTACGAAACATTTTCGACTTAACATAAAATGCCATTCTTTAAAGTTTTTTGAGTAATGTTGTTGATTTTTTTAAACTTTAGATATTTTACTTTCTACATTGGAGCTGGGGCTATGTTACTTTTACTTTCTATATTGGAGCTGGGGCCCTGTTAATTTTACTTTCTTCATTGGAGTTGGGGCCCTGTTGCTTTTACTTTCCATATTTGAGCTGGGGCTATGTTACTTTTACTTTCTACAATGGAGCTGGGGCCCTGTTAATTTTACTTTCTACATTGGAGCTGGGGCCCTGTTAATTTTACTTTCTACATTGGAGCTGGGGCCCTGTTATTTTCCTTTCTATATTTGAGCTGGGGCCCTGTTATTTTCCTTTCTATATTTGAGCTGGAGCTGGAGCTATGTTATTTTTACTTTCTACAATGGAGGTGGGGCTATGTTACTTTTACTTTCTACAACGGACCTGGGGCTATGTTAATTTTACTTTCTACAATGGAGCTGGGGCTATGTTACTTTTACTTTCTACATTGGAACTGGAGCTATGTTAATTTTACTTTCTACAATGGAGCTGGGGCCCTGTTAATTTTACTTTCTACATTGGAGCTGGGGCCCTGTTAATTTTACTTTCTACATTGGAGCTGGGGCCCTGTTAATTTTACTTTCTACAATGGAGCTGTAATTTGCTTTAGAATACAAATGTCAAAAGGTTAAACCTGCTGAGTAATTTAAGTATGGTACATTTAGTTTGGTAGAATTATCATTGTTTTTTGTTGTCCATTCTCTACTACATTAACATTGCTGTGTCCCGTATGTAAAAATTCTAACTGGGAGTTGTATGGAAGTGGACTACTTTCAGTTTCGATATACGAATTTCTGGAAATGTCTTTGTGAATGTATAACACGTGAGTGAATAACACCATGTGACCTATGCCATGGGAACGACTATGTCTTCAGAGCGTTTGCTGATCGAGGTATGTATAAAAGAATTGTGGCACATTTCTCGACCCAGGGATTCAGTTTACGTAATATCGTTAAGTATCGAAGTACAAACCCTGACTCAACGAGTCGTATCAACTGTTATCATATTTACTACTAATAACACCGTTTTTGTATGTGTGATAAGTCTGAATTTCCACAAAGTGATATTAAGACCTCTTGAAAGTGATATCACACTCCCTCTCAATGTTTTATATTCTGTCACTTCCGCTTATCGGTGTGTAAATTTAACATAAGTGTGGTTGGCTTAGAAGAAATGATTTTTTTTCTTACGAAACACCAATTTAGAATCCCACTCAAATTTCCGGATTGTGCCGTTTCTGGTTGGTTTCCCTTTTTAAAAACGTTAATAGCTAAGCATGGCGACGAGGACTAATAATGGAGAGGCAATTTTAGAAGTACATGCTGCGAGAGTTGTCAAGTTGGATGAGTTATAAAAAACGTGTGATAAAAAGACTATTATATAACCGTTTTAATATCACATCCTTATCAGCCCTCTGGCTGTTATCAGGACTCTCGGCCTGATAAGGTGTGTGTTTAATATTATCAATATTCTGTTGTCAGGCTTCCAGATACAAATCCCCGACCCCACGGACCGTGTACATATATTTACCCAACCATGTATAATGTTATCAGAACTAATTGTAAATTACATCGACAGAGCACACACATTCATTATTTCAATTCAACATACGAAAATCAATCTTCTAGACACTAAAAATAGAGCACATGTAATTTTTGTAAACTACGGCGTAAGCGATGAACTCGGTCAATGTGTATTGTCTGTGATATCTTGTTTCACTTTCGTTTTCTGTAAGCCATAAAGCGGATGTTACGTGGACGAGGGTTAATATATGCATGATCAGGCAAATCGACGCGACCATTTCATGACGGCATGTTAACCTCTGACAAAACGAAAGACAAAACTTAACCACTACGATCTTATGTAAGTATGCATACTTGAATTGAGGCGATAAAATTGATTATTTACTCATTAAATCCAGGACTAGAGAAAAGTGGCCGACATACAGAGACAACAGACAGAAAGACAGACTTTTTTGACGAGAGTAAGACACAGAAATATCTGTATGATTTTTTTGTACATTTAGAATGAATATTGACTAGTTTGTGTATAAAATTGTACATTTCAACTAAATATTAAGGTAGGTATTATCATTAGGTATCAGTATATTAGAATAGATGTTCCATTGCTTTCTTTATATACATATATCTGAAGTGGAATATAAGCCATGGGTCGTACGAAACATTTTCGACTTAACATAAAATGCCATTCTTTGGAGTTTTTTGAGTAATGTTGTTGATATTTTGCTTTGTGTTGCTGTAAGTTGTTTACATCTTTTGTCATTAGTTTGTAACAAACATGAAATTTATCTAAATACTTTTAACTCTTGTGTTCAATTTCAATTCATGGAAACTTTTAAGTGAAACCGAACATTTCAGTTTGGCAGCTTCGAATTATTATTTGATATGAAATAAATGCGAGGGAAGATGTATCAGGTTCCTAAATATAACGGTCACAATAATACCGACCATTTTTTTTAAACTTTAGATATTTTACTTTCTACATTGGAGCTGGGGCTATGTTACTTTTACTTTCTATATTGGAGCTGGGGCCCTGTTGATTTTACGTTCTACATTGGAGCTGGAGCCCTGTTGCTTTTACTTTCCATATTTGAGCTGGGGCTCTTTTACTTTTACTTTCTACAATGGAGCTGGGGCCCTGTTAATTTTACTTTCTACAATGGAGCTGGGGCCCTGTTATTTTCCTTTCTATATTTGAGCTGGGGCCCTGTTATTTTCCTTTCTATATTTCAGCTGGGGCTATGTTATCTTTACTTTCTATATTGGAGCTGGAGCTGGAGCTATGTTAATTTTACTTTCTACAATGGAGCTGGAGCTATGTTAATTTTACTTTCTACAATGGAGGTGGGGCTATGTTACTTTTACTTTCTACATTGGAACTGGGGCTATGTTACTTTTATTTTCTACAATGGAGCTGGGGCCCTGGTAATTTTACTTTCTACATTGGAACTGGGGCCCTGTTAATTTTACTTTCTACAATGGAGCTGGGGCCCTGTTATTTTCCTTTCTATATTTGAGCTGGGGCCCTGTTATTTTCCTTTCTATATTTGAGCTGGGGCTATGTTATTTTCCTTTCTATATTTGAGCTGGGGCCCTGTTATTTTCCTTTCTATATTTGAGCTGGAGCTATGTTAATTTTACTTTCTACAATGGAGCTGGAGCTATGTTAATTTTACTTTCTACAATGGAGGTGGGGCTATGTTACTTTTACTTTCTACAATGGAGGTGGGGCTATGTTACTTTTACTTTCTACAATGGAGCTGGGGCTATGTTACTTTTACTTTCTACAATGGAGCTGGGGCTATGTTACTTTTACTTTCTACAATGGAGGTGGGGCTATGTTACTTTTACTTTCTATATTGGAGCTGGGGCCCTGTTAATTTTACTTTCTACAATGGACCTGGGGCTATGCTAATTTTACTTTCTACAATGGACCTGGGGCTATGTTACTTTTACTTTCTACAATGGAGGTGGGGCTATGTTACTTTTACTTTCTACGTTGGAACTGGGCCTATGTTACTTTTACTTTCTACGTTGGAACTGGGGCTATGTTACTTTTACTTTCTACAATGGACCTGGGGCTATGTTACGTTTACTTTCTACAATGGACCTGGGGCTATGTTAATTTTACATTTTACATTGGAAATGGGGCTATGTTACGTTTACTTTCTACAATGGACCTGGGGCTATGTTAATTTTACATTTTACATTGGAAATGGGGCTGTGTTACTTTTACTTTCTACATTGGAACTGGCGCCCTGTTATTTTTACTTTCTACAATGGAGCTGGGGCTACGTTACTTTTACTTCCTACATTGGAACTGGGGCTATGTTCCTTTTACTTTCTACATTGGAGCTGGGGCTATGTTACTTATACTTTCTACAATGGAGCTGGGGCTATGTCACTTACATTCTACAATGGACCTGGGGCTATGTTACTTTTACTTGCTACAATGGAGCTGGGGCTATGTTAATTTTACTTTCTACATTGGAGCTGGGGCTATGTTACTTTAACTTTCTACAATGGGCTGGGGACCTGTTACTTTTACTTTCTACATTGAAGCTAGGACTCCGTTACTGATGTCATTGAGCCGAAATTATGCAGAAATGTCGAGAGCTATGATTTTTTGCCTTTGATGCTGAAATCCAGACTGACTTGAATTATTTAATAGTTGTTCACAATACCTTCACTCATAATATTGATAGGTCTCAATAGTTCAGAATTCTAGTATTTTTATATTGTGTAATGTAGCTAGAGTTTCTTGATGTTTGTAATATGTAATGGAGCCAGAGAGTTTGGTAATTTGCCTCCCTAATGTTAACCATTTGTGGTAAGAATAATGCTACTTTGTCATTCATTAAGTGTCTTCAATGCTATCGTTTTGTTCGCACTTTGTTTTTGTGTGATTAGCAATGTGTAGTAAGTTGAAACATTCTGTTTCCAGCTCTTGATGAGTTAATGATACTTATTCAACGTTGCATTTTGGATCCTTGCATATGTATGTATATTTGTTGGCCTTTTTCTACTTTTTCAAATCAGGTTTCTTGATACTGTAATACGCTATAGAATATCTGGCACTCTGATGTTTTGTGTTAAATAATTTATATGTAGATATCATAATGCTGGCTTCTTATTTCTTAGATTACACAATGGAGTAAGCAGTAGACAACATGGGTTAGTGTTTCGCCTCTTGTACATGAAAGAATATGTGTCTGACATTTGGAAATGTTTCAACAGTTTGTATCAGTCAAACATTACATTGAGAATGCTCTTTCTGTTAATTTGTTTTTAATTTCCAAAGAAAAAGGTGAAATATAAAGAAAAAAAATTTAAGTAAATAAAAATACAAATATATAAATAAATGATCAGCATGATTTTGTTTTTCATGAAAATTCAAGAAATTCTCGGACGACAACATTTGTAAAGAATATTACAAGAATTGTTTGATATCTGAATTAATTTCACCCATATCTTTTGAAGATCGTCAGGATGACGAGAAAAATCCGTCCAGTTCCTCCCATGGGAACCGGAAAAGGAAGAGTAACAGGGTTAATGAACCAGATTTGAAACCTGTTCTAAAACAACACAAAATGGCTAATTCCGAAGATGACGAGGTCTCTCAGGCCATCAACATGGGTACGTGAAATATTCCTTGATTTACACTGTCATGTTCGAGGCCCGGAGAGGTGGTAGTATGTAAATAACGGGCCAGTCTGTACTGGATTATTTGAATGCATTTTCCTCTGGTGTTCTGGAACATTTTTAGATCGCTTGGTTTGGAGGGCCAAATGAGCATTTTTATCTTCTTTTCCCCAAAAGTTATGGGCTACATTTGACCAAACTTTACATGGATCTATAAAATTTATACGGCTCTGCCCCAGTGGCGTACATTTATGATATGCGGGTCTGAAACTTGGCAAACGGCAAGCTTTTTGCATTAATAAAAAGCGTGATTTGAAAATTTGGCTGTTTATTACAAAACTAATGTGAAAAAACCATGAAGACCAATATACCACATCACACTGAACCGAAAATAGTTTTTACTAATGTAGGAGAGGGAAAATAGTCACCTGGCCACTTTATCAAGGAAAGGGTTACATTATTTTAAGACAGGTATCTATGCTTTAGCCAGAATCAATATAGCCAATCCTCCTGTATAGGGAAATAAAGATGCAGTTGCAAATGATTAAATATTATTCCAGATTCGGACTCCGAATCATCAGATTCAGACCGTGAAATGGACCAGCCGTCACTTCTAGAACAGTTGAAGTCTATATTGGACAGTTATCAAGACGCTCAAATCATCCGGGTATACTATTAACCTTTACCCAGCTCTTTGCTGTATAAATACTCCCGAAATGGTTTTAGAAACCTTAATAGCTAAAAAGTTTATATGAATAGTGTCGTTTTGGTTTCAATATTGGTAGAACTAGCCTGTCCTTTAGATTGTTCTCTTGTTTTTGGATGCTTTTGATTCGAAAATCTACTTTAACTATATACGTATCATTTCTTTATTGATTTTAGGAAAATGTCATTCTTTATCGCATCCGTTTCATAACAATCTCTCATTGAAGATTCATCACATCATATATGTTTTATGTTTGTATGTGAATCACTACATAAACAGTTATTTTTATATCGAAACCAGGAGCTTATTCAAAACGCTGATGATGCAAACGCCTCCGAGATGCAGATTATCTACGTGAACGACTCCAAGGAAAAATCACCAGGAGAACTTCAAAGTGGATGTTATTCTGAATATTTCAGGGTAATAGCAAATTTCGTATCTAATATTTACGAATAGGAATATTGGCTTAAATGTAACTGCCATAAATCTCGTCACTCAACAAAATTCGGACGACAGTTATACTCAGAATAAAGGAAGAAATTTATTTAATAAGTTAAATGATTCATAAATAAAGAAAATGCAATGAAAAAAAAAAACAAAAAAACAAAAACAAAAACAAAAAACAAATAAAATTTTATTATGCCCCCCGAATCAGAGATTTGGGACATACTGATTTTGTGCTGTCTGTTTGTCAACATTATAACCTTGCCCACAACTATTGCACCGTAGGAAGTAGGGCTCTCATATTTGCTTGCAATATTTGTTGCAACCAGGGGCATAGTGTTTCGTAAACTCTTGTTCTCCTTTGTAAATTGTTCAACTTATGATGGGAGTAACTTTAAGTCAGGTTTTATCAGTAAGGGACTTGGCACTTACTTACATCGAGAATTATTCGCTACGTTGAAACTTTCGTTATTTACTTGGTTATAGGCAAATCACGAAAATAGAATATAAAATGTAGTTTTCATTTACGTTTTAACCATGTAATTGTCTTTTGTTTCAATTACAAAATACAGTTACCGAGCAATCAATGTTATATAGTGTGTGCACATGTATCTTTTATGATATTCAATAAAAGATTATAAAATGGTGCTTTGTCATGTCTCCTATTCATATTTTTTACTTCCTATACTTTAAGTCCCCTGCACTGTGTGTCTATAACGATGAGGTATTCAATGGAAAGGACTGGACATACATCAGAAGTATTTACCGCAGTGGTAAACGCGAGAACGCCATGAAAGTAGGCAGATTTGGTCTCGGATTCAAATCCGTCTTCCACATGACAGGTAACATTTTTTGAAAATTTAATCAACAATATATCATATATACCTCTCTGTTCACTAGGAAACTGAGGGTTTGAATACAATTCCATGTTAATGTACATTTCTATGCATCTGACATCCCAGCATGTCATCAACTGACGTGTTAAAATGTGCCATCTGTATCTGGTAAAATGACCTTTCTGTACTTGTTAAGCAGAAATTTTGTACATGGTATACGTGGTACGAAAACATTTGTATGTGGCACACTGACATTTCTGCACGTATCAAACTGAACCGTCTGTACGTGACACACTGACATTTCTGTACGTATCAAACTGAACTGTCTGTGCGTGGCACAATGACGTTTCTGTACGTATCAAAATGAAACGTCTCTACGTGGCACACTGACATTTCTGTACGTATCAAACTGAAACGTCTGTACGTGGCACACTGACATTTCTGTACGTATCAAACTGAAACGTCTGTACGTGGCACACTGACACATCTGTACGTATCAAACTGAACCGGTTGTGCGTTGCACACTGACATTTCTGAACGTATCAAACTGAAACGTCTATTCGTGACATACTGACATTTCTGTACGTATCGAACTGAACCGTCTGTATGTAACAGACTGACGTTTCTCTACGTATCAAACTGAACTGTCTGTGCGTAGCACACTGATATTTCTGTACGTATCAAACTGAAACGTCTGTACGTGACATACTGACATTTCTGTACGTATCGAACTGAACCGTCTGTATTGAACATTTCTGTCACACTGACATTTCTGTACGTATCAAACTGAAACGTCTGTGCGTGTCAAACTGAAACGTCTGTGTGTGTTCCATTGCCATTTCTGTACATATTAAACTGACACGTCTGTACGTGGAACACTGACATTTCTGTACGTATCAAACTGAAACGTCTGTGCGTGGTACACTGCCATTTCTGTACGTATCAAACTGAAACGTCTGTACGTGGCACACTGACATTTCTGTACGTATCAAACTGACACGTCCGACGTGGCACACTGACGTTTCTGTACGTATCAAACTGAAACTTCTGTACATGACACACTGACATTTCTGTACGTATCAAACTGAACTGTCTGTGCGTGGCACACTGACATTTCTGCACGTTTCAAAATGAAACTTCTGTATGTGGCACGCTGAAATTTCTGTACGTATCAAACTGAAACTTCTGTTCGTGGCACACTGAAATTTCTGTACGTATCAAACTCTAACTTCTGTTCATGGTATACTGACATTTCTGTACGTATCGAACTGAACCCTCTGTAGGTGGAACACTGACATTTCTGTACGTATCAAAATGAAACGTCTGTACGTGGTACACTGACATTTCTGTACGTATCAAACTGACACGTCTGTACGTGGCACACTGACATTTCTGTACGTATCAAAATGAAACTTCTTCACGTGGCACACTGACGTTTCTGTACGTATCAAACTGAAACTTCTGTACATGACACACTGACATTTCTGTACGTATCAAACTGAACTGTCTGTGCGTGGCACACTGACATTTCTGTACGTATCAAACTGAAACGTCTGTACGTGGCACACTGACATTGCTGTAGGTATCAAACTGAAACTTCTGAACGTGGCACACTGACATTTCTGTACGTATCAAACTGAAACGTCTGTGCGTGTTACATTGCCATTTCTGTACGTATCAAACTGACACGTCTGTGCGTTGCACACTGACATTTCTGTACGTATCAAAGTGAAACGTCTGTATGTAACAGACTGACGTTTCTCCACGTATCAAACTGAACTGTCTGTGCGTGGCACAATGACGTTTCTGTACGTATCAAAATGAAACTTCTGTTCGTGGTATACTGAAATTTCTGTACGTATCAAAATGAAACGTCTCTACGTGGCACACTGACATTTCTGTACGTATCAAACTGAAACTTCTGTACGTGGCACACTGACATTTCTGTAAGTATCAAACTGAAACTTCTGTACGTAGCACACTGACATTTCTGTACGTATCAAACTGAAACGTCTGTGCGTGGTACACTGCCATTTCTGTACGTATCAAACTGACACGTCTGTACGTGGCACACTGACATTTCTGTACGTATCAAAATGAAACTTCTTCACGTGGCACACTGACGTTTCTGTACGTATCAAACTGAAACTTCTGAACGTGGAACACTGATATTTCTGTACGTATCAAACTGAAACTTCTGTACATGAAACACTGACATTTCTGTACGTATCAAACTGAACTGTCTGTGCGTGGAACACTGACATTTCTGTACGTATCAAACTGAAACGTCTGTGCGTGGTACACTGCCATTTCTGTACGTATCAAACTGAAACGTCTGTACGTGGCACACTCACAATTCCGTACGTATCAAACTGAAACGTCTGTACATGGCACACCGACATTTCTGTACGTATCAAACTGAAACTTCTGTACTGGCACACACATGACATGGACATTTCTGTACGTATCAAACTGAAACTTCTGTACTGACATGACGTATTCTGTACGTATCAAACTGAAACGTCTGTACGTCTGTACGTGGCACACTGACATTTCTGTACGTATTGAAACTCTGTACGTATCAAACTGACACGTCCGACGTGGCACACTGACATTTCTGTAGGTATCAAACTGAAACTTCTAAACGTGGCACACTGCCATTTCTGTACGTATCAAACTGAAACTTCTTTACGTGGTAAACTGACATATCTGTACGTATCAAACTGAAACGTCTGTACACTCTGTATGTAACAGACTGACGTTTCTCTACGTATCAAACTGAACCGTCTGTGCGTTGCACACTGATATTTCTGTACGTATCAAACTGAAACGTCTGTACGTGGCACACTGACATTGCTGTAGGTATCAAACTGAAAATTCTGAACGTGGCACACTGACATTTCTGTACGTATCAAACTGACACGTCTGTACGTGGCACACTGACATTTCTGTACGTATCAAACTGAAACTTCTGTATGTGGCACGCTGAAATTTCTGTACGTATCAAACTGAAACTTCTGTTCGTGGTATACTGAAATTTCTGTACGTATCAAACTGAAACGTCTGTACGTGGCACACTGACATTTCAGTACGTATCAAACTGAAACGTCTGTACATGGCACACTGTCATTTCTGTACGTATCAAACTGAAACGTGTCTGTACGTGGCACACTGACATTTCTGTAGATATCAAACTGAAACGTCTGTGCGTGGTACACTGCCATTTCTGTACGTATCAAACTGACACGTCCGACGTGGCACACTGACATTTCTGTACGTATCAAACTGAAACGTCTGTGCGTGGTACACTGCCATTTCTGTACGTATCAAACTGACACGTCTGTACGTGGCACACTGACATTTCTGTAGGTATCAAACTGAAACTTCTGTATCTGTACGTATCAAACTGAAACGTCTGTCAGTGGCATGCTGACATTTCTGTACGTATCAAACTGAAACGTGTCTGTACGTTGCACACTGACATTTCTGTACGTATCAAACTGAAACTTCTGTACGTAGCACACTGACGTTTCTGTACGTATCAAACTAAAACGTTTGTACGTTGCACACTGACATATCTGTACGTATCAAACTGAAACGTCTGTTAGGTGTACACTGACATTTCTGTACGTATCAAACTGAAACTTCTGTACGTGGCACACTGACATTTCTGTACGTATCAAAATGAACCGTCTGTACGTGGCATATTGACATTTCTGAACGTATCAAACTGAAACTTCTGTACGTGGCACACTCAAATTTCTGTACGTATCAAACTGAAACTTCTGTACGTGGCACACTGACATTTCTGTACGTATCAAACTGAAACTTCTGTAAATGACACACTGACATTTCTGTACGTATCAAACTGACACGTCTGTACGTGGCACACTGACATTTCTGTACGTATCAAACTGAAACTCTTGTACGTTGCACACTGACATTTCTGTACGTATCAAACTGAAACTTCTGTACGTGGTAAAGTGACATATCTCTACGTATCAAACTGAAACGTCTGTCAGTGGCACGCTGACATTTCTGTACGTATCACACTGAAACGTCTATACGTGACATACTGACATTTTTGTACGTATCAAACTGAACCGTCTGTATGTAACAGACTGACGTTTCTCTACGTATCAAACTGAACCGTCTGTGCGTGGCACACTGACATTTCTGTACGTATCAAACTGAAACGTGTCTGTACGTTGCACACTGACATTTCTGTACGTATCAAAGTGAAACTTCTGTATGTAACAGACTGACGTTTCTCTACGTATCAAACTGAACCGTCTGTGCGTGGCACACTGACATTTCTGTACGTATCAAACTGAAACGTCTGTACGTGACATACTGACATTTCTGTACGTATCGAACTGAACCGTCTGTATGTAACAGACTGACGTTTCTCTACGTATCAAACTGAACCGTCTGTGCGTTGCACACTGATATTTCTGTACGTATCAAACTGAAACGTCTGTGCGTGGTACACTGCCATTTCTGTACGTATCAAACTGACACGTCCGACGTGGCACACTGACATTTCTGTAGGTATCAAACTGAAACTTCTGAACGTGGAAAACTGATATTTCTGTACGTATTAAACTGAAACGTCTGTGCGTGGAACACTGACATTTCTGTACGTATCAAACTGAAACGTCTGTGCGTGGTACACTGCCATTTCTGTACGTATCAAACTGACACGTCTGTACGTGGCACACTGACATTTCTGTACGTATCAAACTGAACCGTCTGTGCGTGGCACACTGACGTTTCTGTAGGTATCAAAATGAAACGTCTCTACATAGCACACTGACATTTCTGTACGTATCAAACTGAAACTTCTGTACATGGCACACTGACATTTCTGTGCGTATCAAACTGAAACTTCTGTACGTGGTACACTGCCATTTCTGAAATTAATGATTTTTTCATAACGACAGTGGAAATCCTGAATCTGAACTTGGATTTTCCTTTTGCGTTATTGTCAGTTTTCTTTACATTCAACAACGTTATGGATGCTATAGTAGTTATGCTTAACATTTTTTAACAATTGTATATATTGCAGATAACCCTGTCATAATAAGTGGCGATCAGATATTGGTAATCGATCCTTTTCGGACAAAAAAGAAACTAGGAAAAGATTGCCATACTTTGAAATTCAAGAAGCTTTGCAAATCTGTCCAGAGGAAGCGCAATTATAGAGAGGCTCTTGTTGCTATGAAGGCATTGTTCGGCCATTGTGGATTTACAAAAGAGTCGTTGAAGGATAGATACCACGGCACATTATTTTGGTTTCCATTCCGCCGCTCCCCCTCAGAGTTATCCAGTAAAGTTTTCGAACATTCTGATGTTACAGAACTTGTATCCATGTTAAAAAAAGATGCTCATTGTTTGCCACTTTTTCTTAAAAATATCTCTCATATATCTTTTTGTGAAAAAGGCACATGTTCCACATCGTTCTCGGTGAAACGCATTGCGCTTGATAACGAAGAGAAGATATCTTTCAACTTGAATCTTGCAGCATGCAAGGGCAAGCTACCAGATGAGGATTTGAAGGCAATACTTCCTGTCATAGTCACTGTAAAAGACGGCGAGATAGTAAAGAAACAACGATGGGTTCTGTGTAGTTATATAAAAGGCACGGATGGTCTTTCCAAGGAGCTCACAGTGTTGATTGAAAACAAGCAACTGTCGTACAGTCCTTTTGTTGGAATAGCAGTTCCCGTCGATAGCACGCCAGACATTGAATTTCGCGGCCAAGTTTTTTGTTTTCTACCACTTCCGGCTACAAGTGAAAATTACACCGGCCTACCAGTACATATCAACGGATTCTTCGCACTGAGCCAAGACAGGCATCACGTTAAATGGCCTACAGATGATCAGACCTACAGAGAAGATGCCCAGACATGGAACCGTTTACTGTGTGAAGAAGTGATTGCTGAAGCGTATACATATACTCTTGAATACATGAAGGGTTTCACAGTCAGGGAACAACGCATTGAATCTGATAACCTAGTGTACAAAACGCTTCCTTCGCAAACAAACATTCTATCAAACTGGGGAAGCATTGCGGATCCCTTGTTCAGAAACCTGCAAGATAGGGATATATTTTACACGAAGAATAATTCGGGAAAATGGATTCAAGCAAAGGATGCCGTATTTGCTGTTTTGATTTGGAATTGTGATGCAATTACTCACAGGCAGACGGAACAAGTTATATTCAATCTTCTGTTGGAAAGCGGATGTAATGTTGTGAATGCACCATTGCATGTCGCAGAATCGTTTCCAGATGTACAAAGAGTAACACCGCAGTACTTGAGGGATGTGATGAGAGAAAATCCTATCTACACCAGCCTTTCATCGAAGGACAAACTCTTACTACTGCAGTTTGTATTAGCTGATCAACAGTACTCTGATCTTGGTAACCTTCAGCTTCTACCCCTGGAAGACGATACTTTCTGTTTGTTCAACGGTAAAGATCCCAAGTACCTTTGTACGGAAGATGAGATGAAAATGTTTCCAGGCATTGAACAGAATTTCGTCAAGTTATTTATACCTAAAACGACAAGAAATTATATGAATGAAATACAGAAAGAAGGTTAGTATCACATCATTAATTCATAGAAAGAATTCGGTAGCAAATTTCAGTTTTGTAAAAAAAAGTACATTATCCATTTTGAACACACATTGAAATATTATGATATTGCACGATTTAGTGTATGGTCGAAATGCACTAAAATACATGACATCAATATTGCCATAATTTATTCGTTTAAGCTCGCATTTTTGTTACATGAAATAAAATCGTTTTTATGTGTTTCAGCATCTTCAAGACATGCTACTAACTGTCTGAGAAGAATAAACAAGGAAAATTTTCCAAGTTTGCTTAAAAAAACACTGTCTGCGAACGGAAAATATAGTGACTGTTTTAATATATGTACTAATCACATAACAATGCAATGGCTCGACCGCATCTGGAAATACATCGGTCAGCATTTTGACACCCTGGAAACATTCGAGCATATGTTTCTGGTTCCTGTAAGGATTAAATCCAAATCCAGCCGTATCTTGGATATGATGTCTTTGAAAGGAAAGTATGTAGTTGCTATGTGTGGTGGGACCGAAACACTGGGCCAGAATATGAGAAACGCTCTTTCAAAACTGAAAATAACCGTAATCAATCATATTCCAAAAGGTGACAGCTATGATGCACTGATGGGAGCCTATTGCAAATATCCAAATATAAAAGACGTATTGGACCTTTTGGAAGGAACCGACGATGTCCATTTGACAATATGTCACTTCAACGAACGGTCCTGTCTCGAGGAGAAAAAAGCTTTGCTAGAATTCCTGTCAAAAGATCCTCACAAAGGAAATCCAACAGTTGATGATATGCTGCGGCAGTTGGATATTTTCCCTGAAACCTCGGACGTTAACAATACCTCACAGTACACATCCATAAATAAGAATGGAAAAATAGCTTGCAGAAACCTTATCCCAGTTAAATATCCCTTTCCTCTTCTGCATTTGGAATCCTCACAAAAAATTCTTGCTGAGCGGCTGGGAGCCAGTGAAATATCAGAATGTAAACTAGTTGAGGAGATCTTAAATGTTATTATTCGCGGTTCTGACGAATATTCCAGCTCGAGCATTGAGAAATTCATGATACATCTCCTCAAACATCTTAATGAAATAAAAGGTGATCACGACACTATCCTCTATTTGGGTTCCAGGATCAAGTTCATTGACGTCTCCTCTGCAATAGGAGACACGATTGTTGAATCGATAAGACATTTTTTTGACCATACCAACAGAAATCTACAGGAGTTGTTCCATTTTAACGAAACCAAATTCGTCCCATCAAGATATCGAAAACTAAAACTCAAATCTGCACTTAGAAAATTCGGATTGAAATCAGAAGAAGATGTAGAAATCGACGATATATGCAATGTGGTTGAAATACTGGATCGTAAGTGCCGTCAACAGAAAGCAACTGACAAGGAAAATTTAAGAAAATGTTCGCAACAGGCGATGAAACTTCTGGAGAAGATAATCACACAATCCGCTGACAGTTTCGACGCATTAGGTCTGACCAAGTACCGTTGGATAGCCTATCTTAGCGATAGACCATCTCATTATCCGAGCGTACTACCATGGTATGGACAGCAGTTCGAATCAATTCTATGCTCGCCGCAGGATGTCGTCTCAACCAAGCATCAGTCACTTTCAGCATCAGTCAAATGCATTATGGAAACATCTTTTTATCCTCGTCTTGCGGAAATATATGGATGGGACACTCCTCCAGGTGTTGAAATATGTTTATTACAATTGAAGGCTTTGAGAGAGATATTCTGCATAAGACAAAAAGCAACGCTGATGCACATCGTAAAAGCCATATATCTGCAATTGCACGAGAGTATTGTTACGTCAAGAGTCGAGGAGCTAACCTCAGAATTTTTCGTTTGTACACAAGAAGGATTTCATCATGCAGAAAAGGTATTTGTATCCTTTCCGACAAACGAGAACATATGTCTTGAACCGTTTCTGTACAAACTGCCCGTCGAGTTTTCCGAATTCTCCGAATTGTTTGTATTGCATGGATCAATAGCTGAACTCACTGTAAGTTCAATGAAGTCCATTTTAATGACAATCAAAAGAACAACGACCACTTCTACAGCTACGAGAGACAGAAAGATGGTGAAAGATATTCTTGAATGTATAGTAAGCATGAAAGATGATGAAGAGATCTTGGATGATGTGCTGGTTCCTGTTAAATCGAATAACGCTAGTTTTGACCTATATCCGGTTAAAGATTGTACATTCTTTGATAGTGATTCCAGCTGGCTGCATAACAGTGAAGTAGGAAGTACTATCAGAAGCGTTCATTCCGATATCAGTGCTGAATTAGCAGAATCCCTTGGAATCCAATCGTTCACTCAGAGATTTATGTCCGAGGGAGGGACAGAAGAAATATATTCTGCTTGCGGACAGTCAGAGCCATTAACAACAAGACTGAACAATATATTGGAAAACTATCCAGATGGCCTGGCTGTGTTTAAGGAGCTGGTTCAAAATGCAGCTGATGCAGGAGCTCAACGTATACATTTTCTTTATGACGAAAGGCAAAATAAGGATGCCAGATCTGGATTAGTTGACGTTAACATGGCAGAGTGCCAAGGTCCAGCATTGTGGGCTTACAATGATGTACAGTTTACTGAAAGCGATTTCCAAAATATTATCAAGCTTGGCGATGGGACAAAGAAAAGCACAAAACACAAAATTGGAAAATTTGGACTCGGATTCTGCGCCGTATACAATCTGACCGATGTTCCAAGTTTTGTTAGTGGAAACTCACTGGTAATCTTTGATCCTCATACGACTTACCTTGGAAAGGCCATCAAGGACAAAAGCAGTCCTGGAATACGGTTGACCTTCACAGAAAAAAGTTCAGGTATTCTCAAGATGATGAGGAATCAATTCCGTCCATACAACAACATATTTGGATGCGATTTGTCGGGCCACACATTCCCGCCTAAGTTCAATGGTACACTTTTCCGATTCCCATTACGAACTAAGCACCAAGCAATAAAAAGTGCGATAAAAAACACTCCGTACAGCAGAGATGAGATGATCTCTCTTTTTCATCTCTTCAAGAATTGTGCTGGCGATATGTTGACATTTACACAAAACATGAAAGAAATGAAATTATTCCATTTGCCCGAAGAGAGTTTAAGCCCAGCGCGTGATATTAAAGCTATTTTCAGCATTGACAAAAAAGTAGTTAAGATCAACCCATTGTTTGAGAGCCCCGCTGGCATCCATGTCATGCGGGAAGTTGAAAAGGCATTCAAAAGAAATAAAACCTTTGAATATCATGAACTGTTATCAGTGAAGATGTGTATGCCTAAAAGCACACTTCTAGATGTTAGGAAACCCTTTACGAATTCCTCGAAATGGTTTGTTGCCTGGGCGTCAGGAAATGGAAATCAACTACTTGAACATGCATGTCGTCTGGAAAGCGAGGGTGCTCTCCCGCTAGGGAGTGTTGCGGTGTTCTTAGAAAATTCGAAACTTACTGCGGTACCATTTCCACATAAAGAGAAACTACTAGGATTCTACAATACGAGCCATTTCTTTTGTTTTCTTCCACTACCCTCCAAATGCAAATTGCCTGTACATATTAACGGATGTTTCGCCGTAAGCAGTGACAGGAAAGGTTTAGTGAAAGGAACAAGTGACGAGAAAGGGGAAACAAAGAATCAGATTTGGAACCGAATGGTCATGTCTGATGCAGTTTGCAACGCTTATCTTTCTATGTTGACCTGTTTAGATAAATTTGGAACTTCTCCTGAAAAATATGCAACCCTATGGCCAATAAGCAACAGTGACGCTGAAAGGGAGTCATACTTGTCAAATGCATTTTTCGAAAAAATCACCAGTGGCGACTACGAAGTCTTTTATACGACAGATGGGCGTCGAGCTACATTTCGGGAGTCTGTATTTCTTGACCATGATTTTCGCCATGACAAGACCGTTGGGGACTACGCCTTCGATGTTTTTCAAAATAAGTTCTGTGGAAAAAACATCCCGATGGATATGTCAAAGGACGTATACCAACAATTTTGCACAGCAGGATGTAAGGAGAAACTAGACCAGCAGGTGATTTCCGTGGAGAAGTTCTTTGAGAAGCTTTTTTTCCCAAATATAAATCAAATAAATGAAGAAAAGCGTGATGCATTGGTGATGTTTATATTGAAAAATAGACGGCTTCATTTGCAGCAGTTGTTGAAACTGACACCGTGTATTCCTGTCCGACAAGATAGACGATTGAGATTTCCGAATGAACTTGTGCGACCGAAATCCGAAGTATCACATTTGTTCTTTGAAAGTGACGGACGGTTTCCATCTGACTCCAACCAACCCTTTTGTAAAGAGAAAATCTTAGATGTCCTTGTGCAGTTGGGCATGATGGATAGGACAATGTCAGACCAAGTTGTTGTGGAACGAACAAAGTCTATTGCCGAACTTCCTGACCATAAAGCTGCCTTACATCGCTGTCGAAAGTTACTGGAATATCTGTGTCGAGAACACAATCATGAGAAGATCTTCGGTGATTTGAGCAGTATAGCCTTTCTACCATACTTAAAGAAACCTAGCGATTGGCCTCTCCCGTGGAGAACTGAATGCTCCACAAATATGAAAGTTATGTTCTTTCCTCCAAACAAAATGTTTCTTCCAACACATGTGAAACGAATAGCATGTTCCCAACCGATAGTTGACGTTGAAGAATTCGACAGAAATATTAAAGTTGGAAAAGTCCTTCAACTACTTGGAGTCAGACAGGAAATTTTGAAGATCGATGTTGAAGCACAACTTTTAGCAATCAGCCAAGTGCATTATAAAACTCTTACTGTCAAGCAAAAAACCCGATTGCATTCAATATGCAATTCTGTATACCAATACTTGAACAACTCGCCTGAAACACTGACAAGACAATATCAAAATCTCCCTATAATATTGATGTCTGATTGTCTGATACCTCCTAAGAAGGCAACGATGGAAACGTTCGATGGTATCGACTGTAGTCCAGCAATATACCAATTAGGCACGGCTGATGTTGCGAAATACACCAATTTTCTCGAACTTGTTGGTGTTCAAAAAACGCTTTCGCACAAAAACGTTCTATCGGCACTCGAGCAGATCAAAATGGACAACAAAGAAACAATTCTTTCGGTAAGGAGTGTTGAATTGACCGTAAAATTGCTGGAGCTTCTCACTGCAATGTGTGAGCGATCAGGAATGATGCTTAGTTCCACTGAAAAGTCTCAAATTTACGTTCCAGATGATTTAAACGTTCTTCGTCTAACAGATGAATTGTGTGTAGATGATGGATATCAACTCAAAAGACAAGATTACATGCATTTCGTTAACAAGAAAGTATCAGTAGGCATTATTAAGTCACTTGGCATAAAATCAAAGCGTGTAAAGCATCTCAACAGTATCAAAGGAAGCATGCCATTTGGACAAAAGGAAGAATTAGTGACACGACTGAGAGGAATCCTGGAAGAATATCCCCGAGATGAGACAATATTGTATGAATTGTTGCAAAATGCTGATGACGCAGGATCAAGTGAGATCATGTTCTTTCAAGATATGAGACAACACGAAACTACAAAAGGCATTTTTGGAAATAAGTGGTCTGAAATACAGGGTCCTGCCTTGTGTGTTTTCAATGACTCCTGTTTCTCTGTTGAAGATCTTGAAGGCATTTGTAAACTAGGGAAAGGATCCAAATCTCACGACCCATTAAAGACCGGTCAATTTGGAGTAGGATTTAATGCAGTTTATCACTTGACAGATGTACCTTCTTTTATCTCAAAAGGCCCGACAACACCAAATAATGGAACGTTCTGCGTTTTTGATCCTCATTGTTATTTTTGCCAGGCAAACGACAATAATCCTGGATTGCAGATTCCTGATTTGAGAGAACTGGAAGAGTCATACCCAGGAGTGTTCGAATGTTATTTACAAAAAGAGCTTCCAAGGCAAAAGGGCACATGGTTTCGATTTCCTTTGAGAAACAAAAACATGGCACCATCTTCCCGTATATGTAACAAACCAATGGACATTGGTACATTAAATGAATTATTTCAACATTTCAAGTTCAATATGAAGAAATGCCTTTTGTTTTTGAGGAATATCAGAAAAATATCATTATTTGAGATAGATGAAGGAGGAAATATCAAAATCAACCATGAAGTTGAATCTAGCCTTGACGAAAACGATGAAAGTAACTTGAAAGAGTTCACCAATAACTGCAACACATGTACAAAAGCTTTATATGATAGATCGGTGCTCGTCGAAAAGATTGAATATCGGAAATGCATATACAACATGACAATTCAGGAAACTTTACATCAACCTGAACACTGGATCGTTGCTCAGACATTTGGATTCGACACGGGTACTAAAATACCAGAGATTGTAAGATTAGCTTTTCAATGCGGTGACATGATTCTCTCACCAAAAGGTGCCGTGGCTCTTTTAAATGTATCAAGAAATATACAGTCGACCAGCAACAAGGGAAAACAAGGTGGACAAGCATTTTGTTTTCTTCCACTGCCCTTGAAAACAGGTCTTCCCATACATGTCAACGGACATTTTGCCCTTAATCAGACAAGAGGAAACATGTGGGATAAGACATACAAGGGTGACTGGAACAAATTGCTTTTCAGTACGGTGGTATCGAACAGTTATATAATGGCTATTGAACATCTACGCGACAACTTGCTTGAAAACGATATCAATAGGGAAGGATCTACTGTTGTGAACGTCAAATCCAGATTGGAGAATTATCACAACGCATTTCCGCGATATGAAGATGGAAAAACCGATCTTATCAAGGGAATGATAACTTCCTTTTTTTCTACTCTCTATGAAAAGGAGTCCACCGTGTTCCCGGTGATATCGCCGAATGCAACATCGCTGTGGTGGGTTGCTTTGCAACAAAGGAGTCAAGCTTTTCCTGCTTGTTTTGATAATTTAATTGAACAGTTTTTATATTCGACACAACTGATAAAACCTCGACCACAGTCTGATTCCAGTTTTATCATCGGAAAGAAAGAAGAAGATCTTGAACGCGCTACAAATGATGCACGCTGTCTGTCCAGTGTTCTTAAAGGTATCGGCATGAAATTACTGGAATCACCATTATGGATTCATGAAAGTATGCGTCAAGCATTGCAACAGCCGAACAGCTTAAACTTCAGCCAATTGGCATTAATCGACCATTTGGTTAATCCTAGTCATGTCATCCAGTTTTTAAAAATAGGCAAAACTTCACCAGATGCTTGCCGTCTGAATGATGTACACCGTAAAGTAACGGACACCCCTATCAAAAGTATTGACAACGTGAACCGTCTTCTACGATACTGTCTTAAAGATGAAGATGATTTCCACGAACACAAGGATCAGCTACCCTTACTAGTGACAAATGATGCAATCCTGCGGTGTTTTTCCTCAACTAGACCTGCTATTTTGTCCCCATTTTGTGATCTTCTGCCGAAATCGGCAAACAAGTTTGTGCACAGCGGTATGGTCAATGTGTTAACGATGTTGCCTCTGAAGAAATGCCAGTGTCTGAAATCCTTAGATCAGGACAGTTTTACACAAATGTTATCAGAAAATTTTGACAAGGAAGCTCTATCAGGAGATAGACCGATACCGTGGGATAAACGTATGCTAAGTGTTAAGTGGATAGAAACACTCTGGCAATATTTGGATTCATTGGAAAGTATTGACATCGATGTGATGGAAAATTGGTGTCTAATCCCTGGAAAATTGAAAACGACCGGAAGCCTTCGTCGCAACGACGTTTTAGTTCCATTCGATAGAAGTTTTATTTTGCTGAACTGTTGGTCATTTCAGGACGACGACCTGCGGAATGTGCTTATGTCGCTAAATGTGCCAACGATGCATTCATGTACCAATTCGGCAAAATTAAGAGGTCTAGTAGCATCACAGAAGGATCCAGTACGATTGGTGCAGTGTCTTCATTACCATAGGGATAATTTGAAAAATCTGACAGTAGAACATGGCGAAATGATACTGTCATACTTATCTCAGATGGAAACCATTGAAAAGCTTAAGAAACCACCATTCAGTGTCCAGATGATAAAAGACCTGACTTTGTTCAGAACTGTTAATGGGATTAACGTCAGTCTTCAAAGGGATGCTATGCGGATTCTTATTGTGAAAGAGCCGTCTGAACTTGTCAAAGACGGTATTGAGTCTTGGTCCGACAATTATCAATGTACTTTATTGGAAGAAAACAAGTACGCGTTACCTTTGATGTCCTACTTAAATTGTAGTGAAACTGTTTCAGTTTCTGAACTGTACTGCAAACATGTTCTGCCAAATTTTTGTCATCTTGAGCGCGCACATCACTTAATTCACTTGGAATACGTGAGGAATATGCTTAGAGATACCCCAGACTGTCCGTTTAAAAAAGTGTTGAGGACTTCAGAATTCATTTTCCATGATGGATGTTTGAAACGAGCGGACTCCTTTTACAGCCCCCATAACAGATTATGTAAGAGAATGTGTGATGAGTCCATGCTACCACCCGATCCTTTTGGATGTAAGGAGTGGAAGACACTAATGGTCAGCGCAGGAATGAAAGAAATAGTGTCAGCCGATTTGTTTGTCCAGTTTGCCAAAAAGATAGAAAGTGGTGGACAATCTGAAGGCATGACAAAGAACATAAGAGAACAGTCTAAAGAGATAGCTACGTATCTCTTTGAAACAAAGGAACTTTACAACAACCCTGTATTTCTGGAGCAAATCAAAAACATTCGCTTTGTAGAACCCGACTGTGTCAACCCTGCGTACCAACAAATATATTCGCAATTCGGATGTGAGGGCTTGATAACATTTTGTGGCTCTGTGCACAGTTCTATAACGGAACTCGTTTGGTCGACGACTCCTATTTTGCCAGACTATATAATGAGAAATGTAAATAATGGCTTAGGAATTCTGAAGGAGCCACCGCTGGTCAATGTGCTGTCCCATACTCACAATGTTTTCGACTCTATGAACAAAATATTACATGAAAAGAAAACAGAAACAAGAGATGTTCATTCTGGAAATGTATTCGATAAATTGATCACAACAATTTATAAATATCTTCAAGGTCATTGTCTTTCTAATCGTGAAACTAAACAAATGCTGTCTGAAACGCCAATCGTACACATTATGGAAAAGGGACTATTTGTCACTGCAAGACAAGTATCTATCTCATTTGACGGAAAGAAACCGATTCCGCCTCATTTGTTTCAGATTCCCCTTTGTTATGGACCATATCAGAAGCTCTTTCAATTCCTTGGAACAACCGGTTCTGTAACTTTGAGTCAATACGCGGATGTATTATATAGAATTCAGTGTGAAGTCAAATCTAACATGCTTGATCCTGATCACTTAGAAGACGTGAAAACAGCATTGCATGATTTGATGTTGTTATTAGAAGAAAAAGAGGTACCCGATATTGAAACTTCCATGGCAGATGTGGAATCCTTATATCTACCTACCTGTGACAAGCGTTTGGTAAAATCAACAGACTTGGTGTTTGTGGATAAAAACAAACTTAAAAAAAGAGTTATGCGATGCAACGATCATAATCTACAGTTCATACATAGTTTGAAGGCTTGCCACAACCGTGAAAATATAATCATGAAGTTACCCAATCACTTAAAACCTAGAGTCTTGAGTTCAATCGTACAGGAAGTACTCATATCCGATTCGAATATCGCGAACGATACCAAGGTAGATGAATTAGGAGCTTTTCTAGCATCTGAGAGATTTTTAAATGTAATTAAGGTATTCGGCAAATTCAGCGACGAAGATTTCGACAGGTACCATCAACAGCTATTGAATATACAGCTTATTTCCCTCACAGAGATCAAAACAATCCTTACGATTGATGGTAGATATATTTCTGACACCGAAGCTGGTCAAGACTGTTTTTACACGACCAAGGATGGTGTACAAAAATTATATTTTGCGGATAACACACATGAAATAAGTACCTGGTTAAAAGACATTGGAGGAGAACTCTTTGGAACACTTTCCGACTGTTTGGACCAAAAAATCTCACCAGAAAAAATCCGTGAAGTGTTGGGTTTTCTAGACGATCCAGTCAGATTCCGAAAGTATTGTGAAACTCATTTCGAGGAGGAAGAAAGCGAAAAAGATATTTTGTTTTCGTACTTTCCGGGGAACCTGGTTCCGTTAGGGTTGCATGAATTACTTCAGAATGAAATTAGTCTTCTAAAGACAGGTGACCTTGTCGTCTACGAGAAGTTTGATCCAACTGTAGAAGGTCACCAACATGCTTTAATGTCGAATGCAATATACATTTTTGTCAGAATACTAAAGATAGTTCCACAGGATAGCCAAACCAACCATCTTCTTCAGAAATACGAAGTTAGTTTCGGCCATGGTAGAAACGAAGTGGTAATGGGGCTGCGGCTATATAAGGTTGTATATCCGGAAGTAACAACATCTACTGAATTAGTTGTACATCAGTTTGGACAAGACAGTTTTACGCCTCTTAATAGAAATAATATCTTTCATGAAATCATTTTTACTTTGTCCAAAGCTTGGCAACTAGATACTGCGGACAGGAAACGGGTCATGCGGAGGTTATTACTGATATGGCACCCTGACAAAAATCTCATTAAAGGCGACCTACATCAAGGGTTTGCTAAGGAGGTCACACAGTTTATATTTGATATCTGTAGGCGCCTTGACGAAGGCGAAGACTTTGACACTCCAATTGCTGGAGACAGGAGAGAACCGAGAAGACGGCGAAATTACGACGGATGGAGCTATGGCGAACGATCAACAGATTGGGTCGTTTTCGGAGACCAGGTATCGTCAATGTATAGGCAAAGTCGTGAACACGGTGAACAAAGGCAAAAAGACGACCCGAAGAACCCACAACGTGCAGAGGGAATAAGATGGTTACGACAAGCTAGCATGGACTTTAAGTGTGGAATGAATTCATTAGAACTGAACAAAGGGACGTTGGGAGGTGATAATCTTGACAAAGTAGATTACAACTGGGTTTGCTACATGTTCCATCAAGTAAGACGATATTGTTGCTATAATTCTAAAGTAAAACTTTGCACACCTTATTATCTCGAAATCTGGTATCATCTAAAATGTAGGAAGACTATTAGACCAGCACGTAGACATTTAAGTGTTTGTGTCAATTCACACGCATGTATTGTAATGATTTTAAGTATGTATGAAGGCATGCATTTACACAATGGCTAAAGACTAATGTTCTTCTTAGATTTCAGTTTTGAGAGCTTTTTCTTCATTTTTCTCGAACTATTTGAATACAGATCAATTTCAACTTGTAAAAAGATCTCATTAAATGGGAAATAAATCACGTGTCGATAAAAACGGGTACTCAAAGTAGGTCAATTCGCAGGATTAGATCTAGTGTAGTCCTCAATCCATAGAAACAGAAAATTCTTGAAGGCAAGTTAAAAAAGTAAAATAGATATCTAATACACAACTAGAGAAAGCCTCGCCACTTCAAACAGAAAGGATCTAATACTTGATTTATTTTTTACCTTTACCATGATTAGTTGATTTTTTTCCCACTAAATGAAATCTATTTTCTCCTTTCAGGCTTGCGAGAAGGCATGTAAAGGGTATGTGTATAGTATTGATGCGAAGAAAGTCCAGCGTTATCACAACTTACGCTCTATCATTCCGTGGTCGGCCGGAAATGAACAACTCATTCAATGGTTAGATGAGATAGAAACAATAGCTGGAAGCTATTTCAAAATGCGTTACCCGGATGTCCTAGACTATCCTCGTATTCCAGGAGATTCATATTCAAAGGAACAAGCCAACAAAATGATGAAATTGACAACTAAGGTAATGGAGGAAATCGAAGACAAAATGTAACTTTCTAAGATATCATGTGTCTCTATCTGATTTTGATAAAGAACAGAGATGCTTTATATATCTAATTTTAAAAGCCGGTGTTGAGGACATTCAAAAGGAAATTATGGCGAGGTATGTAAGGAAACCTCGTCGTTTGTAGTATTTATATATAATTATGTAAGGATATCATGGCAAGGTGTACACAGAAAGTCTGTCATTTGTATATAATTATGTAAGGACATCATGACAAGGTGTACACAGAAAGTCGGTCATTAGTATATAATTATGTGAGGACATCATGACAAGGTGTACACAGAAAGTCGGTCATTTGTATATAATTATGTGAGGACATCATGACAAGGTGTACACAGAAAGTCGGTCATTTGTATATAATTATGTGAGGACATCATGACAAGGTGTAAACAGAAAGTCTGTCATTAGTATATAATTATGTGAGGACATCATGACAAGGTGTACACAGAAAGTCGGTCATTTGTATATAATTATGTGAGGACATCATGACAAGGTGTACACAGAAAGTCTGTCATTAGTATATAATTATGTGAGGACATCATGACAAGGTGTACACAGAAAGTCGGTCATTTGTAGTATTTGTATATAATTATGTAAGGACATCATGACAAGGTGTACACAGAAAGTCTGTCATTTGTATATAATTATGTGAGGACATCATGACAAGGTGTACACAGAAAGTCGGTCATTTGTAGTATTTGTATATAATTATGTAAGGACATCATGACAAGGTGTACACAGAAAGTCTGTGAATTGTGAAGAACATGGTTTTTATAAACTAAGTTGATGTAAGAAATGACATTCGTTTAGTTTTTAAGTTTTTATAAACCACCATTTCTTCAACATTTTGTAATTATTAAAAAAAATTGACGCACCTGGTTTGTAGAACTAAATTGGTGTTAGAAATGACTTTCGTTTAGTTTTTATGTTTTTATAAACCACAATTTCTTCAATATTTTGTAATTTTTTAAAAAAAAATTGACGAACCCGGTTTGTAGAACTAAATTGATGTTAGAAATGACATTCGTTTAGGTTTTAAATTATAAACCACAATTTCTTCAATATTTTGTAATTTTTTAAAAAAATTGACGAACCTGGTTTGTAGAACTAAATTGATGTTAGAAATGACATTCGTTTAGTTTTTAAATTATAAACCACCATTTCATGAAGTATTGTGTAATAATTGAAAAAATTGACGCACCTGGTTTGTAGAACTAAATTGATGTTAGAAATGACATTCGTTTAGGTTTTAAATTATAAACCACCATTTCATGAAGTATTGTGTAATAATTGAAAAAATTGACGCACCTGGTTTGTAGAACTAAATTGATGTTAGAAATGACATTCGTTTAGGTTTTAAATTATAAACCACAATTTCTTCAATATTTTGTAATTTTTTTAAAAAAAATTGACGAACCTGGTTTGTAGAACTAAATTGATGTTAGAAATGACATTCGTTTAGGTTTTAAATTATAAACCACAATTTCTTCAATATTTTGTAATTTTTTAAAAAAATTGACGAACCTGGTTTGTAGAACTAAATTGATGTTAGAAATGACATTCGTTTAGGTTATAAATTATAAACCACAATTTCTTCAATATTTTGTATTTTTTTTTAAAAATTGACGCACCTGGTTTGTAGAACTAAATTGATGTTAGAAATGACATTCGATTAGTTTCTAAATTATAAACCACCATTTTATGAAGTATTGTGTAATAATTGAAAAAATTGACGCACCTGCTTTGTAGAACTAAGTTGATGTTAGAAATGACATTCGTTTAGTTTTTAAGTTTTTATAAACCATCATTTTATGAAGTATTGTGTAATAATTGAAAAAACTGACGCACCTGGTTTGTAGAACTAAATTGATGTTAGAAATGACTTTCGTTTAGTTTTAAAATTATAAACCACCATTTTATGAAGCATTGTGTAATAATTGAAAAAATTGACGCACCTGGTTTGTAGAACTAAATTGATGTTAGAAATGACATTCGTTTAGTTTTAAAATTATAAACCACCATTTTATGAAGTATTGTGTAATAATTGAAAAAATTACGCACCTGGTTTGTAGAACTAAATTGATGTTAGAAATGACATTCGTTTAGTTTTAAAATTATAAACCACCATTTTATGAAGTATTGTGTAATAATTGAAAAAATTGACGCACCTGGTTTGTAGAACTAAATTGATGTTAGAAATGACATTCGTTTAGTTTTAAAATTATAAACCACCATTTTATGAAGCATTGTGTAATAATTGAAAAAATTGACGCACCTGGTTTGTAGAACTAAATTGATGTTAGAAATGACATTCGTTTAGTTTTAAAATTATAAACCACCATTTTATGAAGTATTGTGTAATAATTGAAAAAAATTACGCACCTGGTTTGTAGAACTAAATTGATGTTAGAAATGACATTCGTTTAGTTTTAAAATTATAAACCACCATTTTATGAAGTATTGTGTAATAATTGAAAAAATTGACGCACCTGGTTTGTAGAACTAAATTGATGTTAGAAATGACATTCGTTTAGTTTTAAAATTATAAACCACCATTTTATGAAGTATTGTGTAATAATTGAAAAAATTGTCGCACCTGGTTTGTAGAACTAAATTGATGTTAGAAATGACATTCGTTTAGTTTTAAAATTATAAACCACCATTTTATGAAGTATTGTGTAATAATTGAAAAAATTGACGCACCTGCTTTGTAGAACTAAATTGATGTAAGAAATGACATTCGTTTAGTTTTTAAGTTTTTATAAACCACCATATTTTGAATATTTTGTAATTATTGAAAAAATTGACGAACCCGGTTTGTAGAACTAAATTGGTGTTAGAAATGACATTCGTTTAGTTTTTAAATTATAAACCACCATTTTATGAAGTATTGTGTAATAATTGAAAAAAATTGACGCACCTGGTTTGTAGAACTAAATTGGTGTTAGAAATGACTTTCGTTTAGTTTTTATGTTTTTATAAACCACAATTTCTTCAATATTTTGTAATTATTGAAAAAATTGACGAACCCGGTTTGTAGAACTAAATTGATGTTAGAAATGACATTCGTTTAGGTTTTAAATTATAAACCACAATTTCTTCAATATTTTGTAATTTTTAAAAAAAAATGACGAACCTGGTTTGTAGAACTAAATTGATGTTAGAAATGACATTCGTTTAGTTTTTAAATTATAAACCACCATTTCATGAAGTATTGTGTAATAATTGAAAAAATTGACGCACCTGGTTTGTAGAACTAAATTGATGTTAGAAATGACATTCGTTTAGTTTTTCCTTTATATACCACCGTCATGAAAATATTATATTCAAAAATTGTGAAGCTTCTTTGTTGTATCAATTAAGTTGTTGTTAGAAATATAAGAGCTTAGGTAATTGTAATTATATACTACCGTCTTAATCAACATTGCGTAATTCTAAGTTTTTCATCTATAACCAGCACCTTATAGAATATTGTGTAATTTTCGAAAAATGTAACCCGTCCGGTTTGTAAAACTAAATTGATGTTAGATATTAAATCAGTTTAGTTTTTTTTGCCCTTATTAACCACAATCTTAGTAAATATTGTGTAATTAAAAATGGTGACAAACCCGGTTTGTAGAACTATATTGATGTTAGAAATGACATTGATTTGGCATTTTCACTTTTCAACATCCATCGCAACAAACGTGTAGTTTTCTAAAATTGTTACCCATCCGGTTTGTATTAATTAATATGATGTTAGAAAACAATATTGATTTAATATCTCTACATACATGTGTAAACCATCGCCTTGATAAATATTAAGTAATATTCTAAAATTTTTACGAATACGATTTGTATAAATTAAATATATATTTTCATATCATCAAAGAGGAGACAAAAAGAATGAATGAAAGTTAATCATTTTCGTTGAAGAAGGACATCAATTGTTCGCAAAGTGCCGGTACGAGTTCTTTCCACTATACAGGAGATTTCCAAAACATGAAAAAAAATAATAATGGAGAATGGCCCAGGGGAGTTAACTCGCATAAAATTCATTTTAGTTTCATTCGGTAGTATCGTCTCAAATTTATATACCTGTAAACTTAACTGAACAATGCTGTTGTACTTTGTTCTTTTGAAGAAAACAGGTTTCAGTGTATACTTTTTCTGTGTTTTTGTTATCCTTTGATTAATTTTGAGTTTTTACAGTTCAATTGATGGTAAAATAGCATTGATCTAGATTAGCTTACTGGTCTCTGAAACATTTTTTGTGATTTTTTTCTTCAGTGTCTGAAGTTGTCTGTTTTTTTAACCATGTAGAAGAATGTCAGTTATTACAAGAACAACAGGCTATGAAACATTTTCGAATTTTGTTTTTATATGTTTTGACGGATTTGTAACTTTATGTTACAAATAAAGTTGATGTGGTTTTGTTTGACGAATAGTTACTGAAACATTTTTAGTATTTTAAAAACATTTTATCTTGATATCACTTAGATACACACATCTCTCCTACACAATGTTTTTATTTAATAACAGTTTAAAAGATAAAATGTTGATTTATATAATAGAAACAGCTATACGAAATAAAAAATATTCTATAATCTTTCTTAATCTGACAGAAACTCTAAGACCATTTGAAATAAAATTTGGCGTAAATTTAGTATTTTTTAGCTTTACAATTTAAAGTAGAAACAACTTAGATGTAGAAAATAGCTGTGGTAAACATTTGTTGCATACTGTGTGTAAAGAAGCGGTTTCGAAATAATTTTTTTGACTTTATCTTTTTTCCCCCGGTTGTTTAATTCACTGGCACTGTGTTTGATTTACAAAAGGTAATATTGTAATTAAGCGAATGAAAATTAATGTATTACTCGAATAACATTGACGTGTGATATGACACAGAATAAGCTGATCAATAATCATGTTTTCTTCAGGTGAAAAATTATTTTTTTTATATGGTGAAAGTAATCTGCATGATATTCCTTTCTAATACACTCATTTAGGCAATGAAAATGATTTAATAGCCAAAATTAATTCTTCGTCTTTTTGTTTCGAATTTTGAACAGCTTAACGTTCTAAAGTGTTAATAAAATTGCTCTAGTGAACGTTTTGCTTGTTTGTTTGTTTTTTAAATTCAACATACGCGCATTATTTTTCTCGTAAAACACTGTGGTCACGTGAGTGGTCTTTTCGTTTTTTGTAATAAGATTCTATAGTCATATGTAACACAATCACATACCAAATTAATTTTCTCAGATGTTTAAACTAAATAGCTAAGTCTGGTAATTCAAAGATTGGTTTGAGGAATCTATAAATGCCAAAAGTATGTACTGTAACCGTATGTATTTTGGCCTATCTATAGGCCTATTTCATTGTTAAGTTGTTTGGGTAAGCTATTTGAGCGTGTTGTTTATAAACACATATACAATCATTTAGTACAAAATGATCTTATCTATAAGTACCAATCAGGTTTCTTACCCAACCATTCTACAGCCCATCAACTCATTGAATTATATCACTCAATAATTACTTCTTTGGAAAAATATGAGCATACTGTTTTGATTTTTTGTGATTTCTCGAAGGCCTTTGACCGAGTGTGGCATAAAGGTCTTCTACACAAACTAGAGAAATATGGCATTTGTGGAAAACTTCTTCTCTGGATACGTAACTATCTCTATGAAAGAAAACAGGCAGTTTTTATAAAAGATGCACTTTCTTCATACAAACCTATAAATGCCGGTGTACCCCAAGGTTCAGTCCTTGGGCCACTCTTCTTCTTAATGTACATAAATGATATTTCTTGCGAACTTATCTCCCTGTCTAGACTTTTCGCTGATGATACATCCCTCTCTTATTCCTCTAGTAATTTAAATCAAATTGAATCCGCAGCAAGATCTGATCTCCGAAAACTTGAAACTTGGTCTAAAGATTGGCTGATGTCCTTCAATCCCATAAAAACCGAAGCCCTTATGATTTCAAATCTTCAACTTCCTTTTGTCCCCTCTTTCATTTTCGACAACATACCTATCAAAATCAGCATAAACACTTAGGTGTTATTATTTCTAACGACGGTAAATGGCACCTACATGTAGATTATATTGTTAGTAAAATCTCAAAATATATTGCAACCCTACGTAAATTAAAACTCATATTGAATAGACATAATTTAGAGAAATTATTCTTAACTTATATCCGACCACTTCTTGAATATGCATGTGAGGTATGGGGCAACTGTAGTGAAACAAATTCCCTGTCATTAGAAATAATCCAATTAGAAGCGGCCAGAATAGTCACAGGTTTACCTATTTACACAAAAATAGATTTTCTATATAGAGAAACAGGATGGTTACCTCTTTCAAAAAGAAGAGAAGCTAGGAAGCTCTCCCTCTTTTACTCGATAGTTAACAACTTGGCACCTGATTTCCTTATTGATTTATTACCTGATATTGTTGGTAACTTAGTCCCCTATAATTTAAGACGAGCCCATTTAATGAGAGATCAACAATTCCGTTTACAAATATCTCATAATTCTTTTTTTTCCTTCTGCAACTAATCTTTGGAACAACCTGAACAATGATATTAGAAATTCACCCACTTTAAATTCTTTCAAGCTAAATCTTAAAAAATCTATGTCTGTGAATAGTACTCTCCACAAGCAATTTATTAGTTATGGCTCCAGAAAATTAAATATCATCCACTGTCGTCTCCGATACCGTGCAAGTCCACTCAATTATGATCTTTTTAGGGCTAATCTTGTAAATTCACCAGAGTGTCAATGTGGGCATCCGTGTGAAGATTCTTATCATCTTTTTTTTAATTGTCCTTTATATGCTGATCAACGAAGAGCACTATACCAAGAATTAATATGGTATGACGGTATTGTTAATGTAAATATTCTTTGCAATGGTGACTCTAATATCTCTGTGGATGATAACCTTAAAATGGCCAAATCGGTCCAAACATTCCTAGGAAGGTCAGGAAGATTCACATAGATTCCCTCTCCTCTCCCCCCCCCCTTTTTTTTCTCTTTCTCTCTCTCCCATTCTACATCCCTCTTTCTATCTCTCTTTCCCTATGCCACACCCTGTTCTTATCTCTCTGTCTCTTTCTTTATTTTTTGTCCACTTATACATTTTACATAAAAATGACTATTATAATAGTATCATGTCACCACGTGATCATATTTATGTAAATGTTTATGTGTATATTGTAGGAGAAGTCATTTATAAGTTGGTAAAACTTACTGACTAATCCTATTGTCAATGTCATTGTCAATAAAATATGTTTAAACTAAACTAAACTATCTATTTTGGTAATATCAAATGTTTTAAACATATTGACACGCGTCCGTTACAATAGCTATATAAACAACATACGGAACTTGCTCAGTTCTATTTTAGAGCAATCGTTTCATCTGAAAAGCCCTAAAATAAGATAACCGCCGAAATACGTTCTTTTGCAGTATTTTACTGTGAGGATGAAGTGAATGCTGAAGATTCTAAGAGCAAACGTCTGATTATGAAAAAGATGACAAGTGTCTTGAAATTCATTTTTTAATTAAAGAATGAAAAATATTTCGTCGAAAATGATGCATATATCTTATTGCATTTGACAACATTCTTTGGTAGAACGTGCAGTTGAAAACTTATCTACAGTTTCATTTAGGCAGTGTCTTCTAATGCATTTAATAGGTGGTGGCTACCTCACATAACAACATACGGGAGGTCCGTCTTATATGATAAACAACTAGAGTTCATTGGGCGTTTTCTATCATGCCATTTAAGCAAAACTTACGTTTGAAATATTGAATCGTACAGAAATCACTGAACTAAAATCTCGCAAACTTCCTTATGTGAAGAGCGTATTCTGTAGCTGTTCAAATACATGTACCAGCTGGAGAAGCTGCTGGACGATCAGCAAGCAACAACCATCGGACGGGGATATCCAAGTAGAACCAAGCTCCATCAGCAATGGTTTGGCAGCGTTCTTATGAGAACACATAGGTTTCCCCTTCATATGACATATCTTAGTCTAAATCAGTTTGAGTTTTGCGTTATATATAATGTATATATGCCACCCCAATCAGGAAAGTCTTTACTTCGTGGCCAAATCAAAAGCTCAAAATCCGAATCTTATATAGCCATAAGGTCTGAGGTTTTAGTCTTTTTTTTTTTTTTTTTTTGCGACCTTAAATGCATTCATAAGAAGATATTGCCAGTAAATCGAAATGTATATATGATTGTGCAATTGTGCAATGAAACTGGTGCTCATTTTTCTGTCTTTCAATTAAATTTCATCGTTGATTGATAGGGCGAAGCAAGTATTAATTCACGTCACCTTAGTTATTTTGGTGAAAATAGTTGTTATTGTGAAAATTTCCTATTCTGCGTGACAAATTACTTAGAAATTAAAATTTCTACTTGAAAGGTTTTCAAACTAAAGCCGTAAAATGCTCGAAGAAAGTTTAAAATGAAACTTAAGTCCATATCCGGTCTATCGTGCACATTCGATCATGACCTTGATTCCTTCACCCCGCAAGGTCGTCTGGAACGCCTTCATGGAATCCTCCAATGGGAATCTGTGTGTTATCAATGGTTTGATGTTAACTTTCCCGGAGGCTACCATTTCTAAAGCCGTCGGATAGCTGAAGATAAATAGGTAGAGAAGGAATCTGTTATGGAACGGACTTTATTTCATTGCTGACTGGAATGAAATTTGGACTTCACATTTACGTTATTAGTCTTTTTATATTCCTGATTAAAAGCATACAGATATTTTTTCAAATATTCCGTTTATATTATGGCAGTAATTGACAATTTCTAATGTAAAAAATCACATAATTGAAGCAGGCAAATAGTTTTTCTTTTAGCAATGATGATTGTAAGTCAATGGCAAGTTTCAATATCTTTTCGAATAGTGGCGAATTACTTGCCGTTCTTTTGAAATTAGAAGGTAAATTAAAATTACGAAATCTATTGAATTATGGGGCTAGTGTACCTACCCACCTACATCTGGACCTTTCCTTCAATTTTTTTCATTTTCCTCAAACACAACATAATCATCAAAAATAAGGTTCTTAGTAAATCACTGACGAGTCCTAGAAGGACCAACCATCTGCATGATGCAGCTTAATTCATTATTTAGATACATCTGTACATTCTTAATATGGGTCAAGTACAGTATGTTAGACGTTTGGGATATCGTCCTATTTTCTGGGAAAGTTTGGAGGCCAGTATGATACTACAGACTGAGTGGATGTACTTAGAACATTCGGTACAACTGAACACAGAATAAACATGGCTGTACGGTCGAGACCGGAACAAACAGTTTAGAGCTTAAAAAAAAACCAAAAAAAAAAAAAAAAAAAACGACAGTTATGTTTAGATATCGATGGATTTTACAAACGTGTTTGAAAATTCACAAAAAGGTTTGCTATTTACATGGTTACAAAAAGAAGAAGAGAATACATGTACAATCTTACCAATTAGCGTACCGAAGATTTCCTCTAATGTCGACCTCACGCAGGGAAGCGGCAGTTACCGGCAGTTCGATGAACTTCGGACAACATCCTACTAAAACCACACAGCCCCCTTCCTCAGTCGCCTTACCTCAGGATAGAATAAAAGATATATTTTTATCCCAGGCATATTGAATAAGCAGTCGTAGAAAGACATTGCAAGGGTAGATAACTCCGCTTACTTAATAATGAAATTCAGAGCAAAAACCAATCGAATATCACTCAGTTTTTATTGATTACTTAATTAATCAATTAATTTATCAATAAATTAATTGGGTTATTTTCTTATATCTATTTTTAATTATTTTGATTCAACCCCCTACCCCTTTTTTTGTCTGTTTGACCAGGTTTTCTTATGTTTTTTTTTTTTTAAATTAAGACGGGTCATGTTGCTTTGTTTTGCTTTCTGTGACGTGCAATCACAAAAATCAAGATCCTTAAATGAATAGATGCAGGTCAATGTTGGCCCTTTGTAACCATTTATTGGGAACATTGATTTATTTATCTTAAACCAGCTTTTAATGTGAAGACATGAGAGATTGGTACTTTTTGTGTTTAATGTCGATTTTAACACGCTTGTTTATTCAGTGAAAACAATTTGATTTTTTCACTAATCACTTGTAAACCTTAGCTAAACGGGACAAGATGGCTATTGAAGGGCAGATAACTCTGAACATACGTATATCGATGTCTGTACACTAGGTGTCGCTCCACTGCATTCGATGGTAATCTCAGCCAAGTCACCCATAGTTTCCTCTATCTGCTTGGCGACCACTTGTGGGTCTCGACTAGTCACCTTTACTGTGTATGTAGCACCCATCTTTTTAGCCATTGTCAACCGTGATTCATCAATGTCTGCACAAGAAATGGGAAAAAATATATTTTATCAAAAACGTAAACGAACCAGATAAGAAACAAGTTCTTCAATGTATCAAATAGACACTAAGTATTTAATATTATAAAATTGGTTTATGGAAAAGAAAATACCAAAATATATTCAAAATAATATCTGCATGTCTTTATTTTACATA